AAACGTGAAGAGTCATTTCATAGAAGAATTACTCGAGAAGGAAAGAATTTTCAATTTAAAGCATTGCTGAAAGCGTTACAGAAACGCTTCTTCAATTGAATTTCGAAGAGGAAACATTTTATGAATGACTTCGCTCCTGAAAATCCTGTGATGTGAACGCTTTGCATAGTTTTAATTTTCCTAATTATGAATTTTTTCTTGTCTCAAACTGACAGAAATTATTCTCAATTTCAAGATTAAAGAATTCGTTAAAAACATAAGAAAATTCTATAATTTTTCATTTATTTATTTTTAAATAATATATCGATAGATTTATGTGCATTGCATTCATCCTGTTATTTTATACTGCTCTTTTCAATATTAAAAAAAATATTTTTAAAAAAATGCAAATTGTTGATTATCTAGACCTAGAGGATGAAGTATAGCTGTCAAATATTGGTTTTTCCGGTAATGATTTTCGCGAGTTGTAATGTGCCGACAATCGATTTAAAATTTGATTTCCAAAATATTTTTTCATTATGCCAGAGCCTATTAACAGCATTTCATGACTTTCATGCATTTATATATAATGTATAAATAAAAACAAAAACAAATTTATGTGTATTGCTTGTAAAAACCACGTTAAATTTAATTTATGAAATCAAAATATGAAAAGAAAAAGCATACATTTCACTAAAATTTCAATTATTGAAAAAAATATATATCTTACGAAAAATTGGTAAAATCTGACAGCTGTGGGTTAAAGAAGAAAAAAAATTTTAATTTTATTTTATAATCGATATTGAACATATGAGTTTATTACTATCAACGTTCAACTCCATAGCCTTGTAATTGTGAACCCAACCCAGAAGACAAGGATACTCCTGAATCAAGCATTGGTACAAACTTGCCTTAGTGGAGGACATTTTAATAAAAACTAACCTGCTTTTGTATTACACGGAGAAAAAAAAACACGAAATCCTCCCACGGTAATACGGAAACCTATTATGAATATTGAAAACTTTATTTGAAGAATACGTTTGTATATTTTAGTAGGTACTAGATATTCACTAAATATTCTTTTTGAGGTAAATCTCGCTGAACACTCGGTTAGGACGAATAATTTCGTTATTTATTTTCATATTAAAAAAGTGTTTGAAGAAAGAAGTTCGGGAAGGGGGAAATGGAAAATCTTATTAGAAGAATACATTTTTATATTTTAGTGCTAGATTTGCACCAAATATTCTTCTTTAGGCCAATCTTGCTGAACACTCGGTTAAGACGAATAATTTCGTTATTTTTTTAGCATTAAAAAGAAATTTGAAGAAAGAAGTTTGGGGGAAAATATTGAAAGCTTTATTAGAAGAATACGTTTTTATATTTTAGTGCTAGATTTGCACCGAATATTCTTTTTTAGGACAATCTTGCTGAACACTCGGTTAAGACGAATAATTTCGTTATATTTTAATATTAAAAAGGAATTTGAGGAAGGAAGTTTGGGGGAAATATTGGAAGCTTTATTAGAAGAATATGTTTTTATATTTTAGTGCTAGATTTGCACCGAATATTCTTCTTTAGGCCAATCTTGCTGAATGATACTCGGTTAAGACGAATAATTTCGTTATTTTTTTAATACTAAAAAGAAATTTGAAGTGGGGGGAAATATTGAGAGCTTTATTAGAAGAATACGTTTTTATATTTTAATGCTAGATTTGCACCGAATATTTTTTTAGGGCAATCTTGCTGAATGATACTCGGTTTAGACAAATAATTTCGTTATTTTTTTAATACTAAAAAGAAATTTGAAGAAAGAAGTTTGGGGGGAAATATTGAAAGCTTTATTAGAAGAATACGTTTTTATATTTTAGTGCTAGACTTGCACCAAATATTCTTTTTTAGGCCAATCTTGCTGAGCACTCGGTTAAGACGAATAATTTCGTTATTTTATTAATATTAAAAAGAAATTTGAAGAAAGAAGTTTGGGGGGAAATATTGAAAGCTTTATTAGAAGAATGCGTTTTTATATTTTAGTGCTAGATTTGCACCATATATTCTGTTTTGGGCCATCTTGCTGAACAAGGACAATAATTTCGTTGTTCGATTAATAAAATGTTTCATTTATTAGGATATTTAAATTATTAATGCTAAAAAATTGAACTTGAATTTTGTATAAGATTCTGCTTAACTATGTGATGTTAAATAAAGTCTTATCCAGGTAAACAAAATGCTGAACTCGTTAACTTAGTTTAATACTGTTTAAATCCGATGCAATGAATATTTTTGTTTTGATTTTTATAGTTTGGAAAATACAATTGGGCTTAAAAAAAAACTTACTATCAGAGGGTGATTTTTTGGAAAAATAAAAAGGAGCTTTATAATGTATTTTATTATTTTTGAAATAAATGCCGAGCAGAGGTTGATTTTAATTGCGGCTCTAGTGTAGAATCGGGTTCTTCTTGGTTTGGCGATAAAATTTCATTCAGTTTTGCTTAAATCCCATTTCTGGTTAACATGATTTGCTTTCAATGACGTCACCTTCGGGTTACCGCAACTTTTGTTTATACTTTTATGTGATTGGTTTTTGGTTTATTTACTTATATATTCGTTTATTTGCAAATCGCCGAAAATGAGAGGACCCTCCGTTTGTATATTACCATAACTGCTTATACCACAAATCAAAATATACACTAAAATTAGGCCACTTTTCGAACTCAAAATCAACAAATAAACGAATTTCCAATAAATATCATGGCGAGAATTCTTATTGATTGATTCATATATTAAAACATCCAATTAAATAAGTGGGCAAATATAGAAAAAAATAATTGAATAGGTAGCGTTGGATAAACACTGAAATTTCTTCGACTTACAATCTATATTCTTTGGGTCTATATTCTTTGGGTTTGTGCATTTCGGCACGGATTTTTTTCTTCTTGTATACGCATTGTAACTAAGTTTTATTAATATCGTATAGAATTCTGGGTAAATACTTTTACTTAAAACTATAATTGTTAATTTCCTTTTTAGCTTAACTTTATAGAATAATATAACGCTGTAAAACACGTCTTAAACTTAAACAAAGTCATTATTTTTACTCATAAATAGAAACTTTCAATTCTAACCATTACTATAATGTTTTATCGCTATGCCAAAGGAAAATGTTATTCCATTAATTCTACTTCGTAATAGAAGTAATGAACAGTTTTTTTAATACTTATTGAAACGCCTCTTTCCACAATTCTAAGTAAACCCCTCTGGAAAACTATTGTAGCGTAATTGGAAAATAAAGCCCAGATGAATTTATGACTATCTTCCGCTCCACTGTGACCTTCGTTATAGAGAATGACGATTAACGGCGCTCCAATCCACTCTGCTTAAGACGAAATATTTCTCGTCCAAGAAGTTCCATTATTATGTACTTCTTTCATTCCGACGGTATTGAAAGAACTGAAGTGAAGAAGGGAAATACGAGGAACAGGTTGTCATGACAACCACCGGGAGGGAAATAATCGCTACTGCCAGTCTTTGGCGAAGAAATTCTTGCAGCTTAGGATGACAAATCGTAGCGAAGTCTTCAGGGCATGTAATTGACTCTACCATTAACGAAAATAGCCATTTTCTTTTTATATGTCTTTAGTTCCAAAGAGAATATTTTTCGGGCATTTATTTTCATTTTTTTTTTCCTTCGTCTGATATCTCATGCGAGTGAATTCTGATGGGAGAAGATGGAGGTTTGACCACTTCTTCTATTTTGGTTCTTTTCTCTTCCGGTAGAGACTGTGACAGGGGGGTTGATTATTATGATGGATGGCAGACTAGAAAGAGGAATTGCGTGCAAATGTTATGACCGTTATGAAATCATTATGAGTTTTTTAGGTAATTGAATAAATCCCTCCTCAAAAAGATATCCCATAAATCATTGCTCAGCTCATATCACTGAGAGATGTTATTAAATTGAAATAGATATCCTCGTGATAACATTGATTAAATCATTTGGAGTATCGTTTTATGGTTTTGTTTAAAAAAATGATTTTGTCGTTAATAAATTGGTAACTTTAGTGATACTACTATTACAAACACACATTTGCAGAGATATAAAGAATTTCCTAATTCTGGAGCATTTAAAAAGACAAACGAAAAGCTTTTTCAAAGCGTGACAAAGGGGCATCTTTTCCCGACTAAATGTGTACAGCGCCTCACTGCGGTAATAGGCCTAACTAGTTTTGTTCATGTCATAGAATAATAAATGTCATAGAATGTCGCAGAGTAATAAATGGTTTTACAAAACAAATATTAACCTAAGGTTAACTTGATTCAATAACTTTTACTGAAATAAAACAACAAAAGACTATTAAATTTAAAGATATAAATATAATTGGAACATCGATAGAAAATAAACAGAGGTAAACGAAGGTATGACAGCGACAATAATTTATAAATTGTTGAGTGCTACTCTTTTAATCCACAGCGTGAACTAGTCGCTAATATTGCTAAAGGGGTGAATGGGATGAAAAGAAACTTATAATAAGGCTTTGTGATGACGTCACATATGGATCGTCATCAAGTAGCAACTTTGATTAGTCAACCAATAAGTGTTAAGTTTGACTTCAGAATAGCTATTTGCATGTTTTCCACCTAACCATCTTGTCTTTGTCAATAAATAGATGACAGCAATTTTTCTTTAACAGTAAAAGGTATGATGTATGCGACTCACACAAAGTGGTAAATTTATAAAAGCGACTTAATTGTCATACTTAAGATACGACCACTGAATCATTAAGATTTCATCTCAGTACACACATCGCCCACAATGGCCAAGAACTTAGCCGTGTGTTACAGAGCTCTTGCTTTCAGGGGCCATTGTAATCTATAAAAACAGGAAAACGGTATCTTTAATTTGAAAATTGTTTTGGGCGATATTTTTTGAGGTTCACTTTTTGCAGCTATAAATGTATTTACAGTTTATTGCCTTTCTGGAAATCTTTTTTGTACGACAATTAAATATTAGTTTCTGTCTTCAGGTGGTGGTTGGATGAAGGAAATCTCAGCATCGCCATCTTCAATCCCAGAGAGCCCAGATTACGAGGATTACGACGATGAGGATGATGACGACGTCGTGCAACCAGACAAAGACGAGAATAACAACAATCGTGACTCTGAATTCCTTTTTATGCAACCCACCGACACCAGGCTGATGCTGGAAGACGATGACGATAACCAATCAGGAATCATAAAAGTAATTTTCTGAACTATTCTGCATTTCACTGAAAAAGTCTTGGCCAGTGTTTCATATTCCTTATTGTTTGATTTTTCGATATCCATTGCAAGTTTTGGTCAATGTTCCAGTTCCTTGGTTGTTTTACTTTTCTTAATGTTTTAAATATTTTTGTCCCTGATCTCCAATTCAGAATCCTAAGGGCATTAAAAAGCCTATCCAGAGAATCATATGCAAAGCCTTTATTACCTTATGGTATTTTTGTAAGGAAAAAAGTGTGGCTTGAGTGGGTCAATTAGTTCGAGGTCATTAGTGCAAAATCTTGCGTCAAAAGCTGTTCATTTAACTTTTATTAGTAAATGTTTTTTTTTCATGCGGCACTATTGGAAGATGTTTTAACTCGCTTACCATGACATTCTCAATGTTAAAAAAAATCTTATATCTAAATTGAGGAAGAGAAAATATGTAATGCATTCGGAACTACTACGATATATATTACATTTTTAAGCATGTATTTACATTTTTAAGCATAATTTCTCAGTAGTTATTGTGTGTGTGTATATATATATACAATAACTACCGAGAAATTATGATTAAAATTGTTGTTTAAAAAAAAGTATTGCAAAAATAAATTCAAGTGCTGAAAAATACTTTGTTACTTATTTTTCAGCGACTCTATGAAAAAATGCTTCAAAATCTGAAAAAAATTCAAGATTTGAATTTGCCTATGAATATTTCGATATATGTGCCATCGAATAAAACAACTGCCGACCGGCCTGTGTAGGGGGGAGGGAATTGTCCTTGCATAAGAAAGGTTCTGGGTTCGAATCCCGGGCAGGACATGGATGTTTCTTTCTCTCTGTGTGTTCTATGTCTTTTCTCCTTTGTGTGTGTGAATGGGACCCGTCCTATAAACGAGTTTGTGGTTGTGTGGATGGTGCGGCAGAAGTCGAATTCTTGGCCATAGATGACGCCACTGAAAAACAAGAACAATCGCACCCCCTCTGCCTAAACAGGCATACGACAAAAAAAAAAGCAAAAATAAATATTTATTAAAAGTAGTTTTATTTTTTATCAAAATATCCTCCGTAATAACCGTGTTCTGTCATCAATAAACAGTTAGTTTTAATAATTGTTTTAAATCGTCTGCCGATATAATAACTGCAACTCCAGCTGGTTGCTAGGCAACCAAACGACTTTTTCTTATTATTAATGTTTTGTTTATCGTTCGTCTCTGTATGTCTGTGGAAATAAAAGAATGTAAAAGCTAACAAACCGATACCCTCTTTCATACGTTTGAACCAACATATCAATGAACACTTGAGTTAATTATATAATTTTTTCCGTATGGCGTATGCATAATTAGTATGCGTACTAATGGTATTCCATATGCGTAGCTCGAAAACATGCGCTTAGTACATAGTAACATTTTCTGTCTTCAAAAGTCAGGCACCCAAACAAAACATATTCATTGGGTGCTAAATCAGTCCTTTACAGTAGATAATCATGAATTTATGTTTTAATGGGCCAAATATTGTGTAGGAGCAAAATCATATTGAAGCATGATCCTACTACCCTACAATATATTTTGTTTCATATTGTTATACTGTTGCCCAAGGAATTCCAAAATTTACAATACGTATATGCGACGCCATTTTGTTTTCGATGCGCTAGTTCGATATCTTTCAACATCGGTATTTTTTTGCTCAACTGATACTGGTTAGCTTGTGAGGAAACTACCACCACGTTGCTTTTAAAGAGTGCTGTCGAATTTTTATTTTCCTTTGTCAAGGAAAATAAAAATTCGACAGTTTTAAAGTGCCTTACATTCGAGGCAAGGCTATGATTTTAAACTAAATCTACTGTCTTTCTATAACTAATTATTTGGGCATTAAAATGGGCAAATAGCTTAAATATTTTTTTTTAAATATTTTACAAATCTCGGCGAGATTTTCCCTTCTAGATTAAAGTTATTAAACTCAATCAATAATTATCAACTTTTGTACATTTTTATGATACCCAGATAATGAAGCGTTGGAGATTATTTTTAAATATTGAAGAATTAGATCACAAACACTTCTAATTTTCATACATGTATTATTTTTCTTCATAATGGCATTTTGCGCTATTTTCATAATAGAGATGTCTTAGATCATTTCACTTCACTTANGTTACACCATTTTTCACCACAGGAATAGATTTTGCTGGCCCCGTACATGTTCGCACTTTGAATCCTTCAGACACAGCTTACATTGTACTGTTTACCTGTGCAACGACCAGAGCCATACATCTCGAACTTGTGTCAGATCTTTCGACAGACAAGTTTCTGTTAGCATTGCAGCGATTTGTGGGTCGTAGAGGACTACCACATACCATCTATAGTGATAATGCTGCTACGTTCCACGCTGCAAATAAGGAGCTAATACTTCTATGGAACACTCTTACATCTACTAAAGTGCAACAGTTTTACGCTCATAATAGCATAATTTGTAAGTTCATCGTACCCAGAGCGGCTTGGTGGGGAGGTTGGTGGGAGCGTCTAATCGGATTAGTCAAAAATTGTCTTCGTAAATCTCTTGGTCGGGCACTATTGGATAAAGAAAATTTATCAACTGTACTAGTAGGGATAGAAGCCGCCCTTAACAGCAGACCCATTGTATATGAAGAGGGAGATGAAGACGATACGGAAGCCTTGACACCGGCACATTTCCTAACGGGTAGAAAATTAACATCCATACCCACAAATCCGAATAACAATCCAAGACTTACGAAACTCTTCAAACAACAACAAGACGTGTTGGATATATTTTGGAAAAGATGGTCCAAAGAATATCTGCTGCAATTTCGCTCTTATCACCAAGTTCGCAATATTCATAAATCCTTCAACATCCATGCAGGAGATCTTGTGCTACTACAAGAAGACATCAGACCCAGACACATGTGGAAGAAAGCCCGAATTACCAATCTAATTAAGGGACGTGATGGGGAAATCCGAACATGTGTGTTAAGAGTGAATAGAAATACTATAACTCGACCCATACAGCTGGTCATCCCTCTTGAGGTTGACCAGGGTGGGGAGGATGTTCCGTCATCAATAAACAGTTAGTTTTAATAATTGTTTTAAATCGTCTGCCGATATAATAACTGCAACTCCAGCTGGTTGCTAGGCAACCAAACGACTTTTTCTTATTATTAATGTTTTGTTTATCGTTCGTCTCTGTATGTCTGTGGAAATAAAAGAATGTAAAAGCTAACAAACCGATACCCTCTTTCATACGTTTGAACCAACATATCAATGAACACTTGAGTTAATTATATAATTTTTTCCGTATGGCGTATGCATAATTAGTATGCGTACTAATGGTATTCCATATGCGTAGCTCGAAAACATGCGCTTAGTACATAGTAACATTTTCTGTCTTCAAAAGTCAGGCACCCAAACAAAACATATTCATTGGGTGCTAAATCAGTCCTTTACAGTAGATAATCATGAATTTATGTTTTAATGGGCCAAATATTGTGTAGGAGCAAAATCATATTGAAGCATGATCCTACTACCCTACAATATATTTTGTTTCATATTGTTATACTGTTGCCCAAGGAATTCCAAAATTTACAATACGTATATGCGACGCCATTTTGTTTTCGATGCGCTAGTTCGATATCTTTCAACATCGGTATTTTTTTGCTCAACTGATACTGGTTAGCTTGTGAGGAAACTACCACCACGTTGCTTTTAAAGAGTGCTGTCGAATTTTTATTTTCCTTTGTCAAGGAAAATAAAAATTCGACAGTTTTAAAGTGCCTTACATTCGAGGCAAGGCTATGATTTTAAACTAAATCTACTGTCTTTCTATAACTAATTATTTGGGCATTAAAATGGGCAAATAGCTTAAATATTTTTTTTTAAATATTTTACAAATCTCGGCGAGATTTTCCCTTCTAGATTAAAGTTATTAAACTCAATCAATAATTATCAACTTTTGTACATTTTTATGATACCCAGATAATGAAGCGTTGGAGATTATTTTTAAATATTGAAGAATTAGATCACAAACACTTCTAATTTTCATACATGTATTATTTTTCTTCATAATGGCATTTTGCGCTATTTTCATAATAGAGATGTCTTAGATCATTTCACTTCACTTACTTACCTACTGAATATTCATCAGTGATCAATCACGTACTTGTAGCAACCAATAGGAATTCGTTTCTTTTGGAATAGGAATAAGATTCATATAACAAGAATTGTGTGAACAATTGGTTGCCATTCAAAACCTCAAAATTACGACTGTTGCAACTCGAGAAGAAGGAGACCACTCTCGATTAACAGGTACCCAAAGGATGACGTAGTAGTGCAGGAAATGTTAACGTTGCAGCTATTAGGCTTAGTTTATTTTTGCACTGAATCAATGTTCGGAATAGATTTAATTATATGCCTGCAATCAACATCACGCATGGACATCGAATCTTTTATTTTAACGGCAGACGCTGAACTTATCGTTCTTCACTAGGGAAGGTGCCGGAAGTGTTACTCATTTTGCGTTGTCTGCTGATCACCTTCTGACCATAGTCAGGAGGCGAGCAACATTACTCACGCCACACTGCCACAGATACCTGTTCATAGGGTGGGTCACATTCACACATCCCACACAACAGATGGACAACACATAGAGATAAACGTCCATGCCCTGAACGGGATTCGAAAAAGCAGCTATTGACTTCGTAGTCAGACACGCTAAACGCTCTGCCAACTGGCCGGCTGAGGGTGTCGAATCTGATTAGCTACTGAATTGTGGCATAAACAAATGCAACGATACCATATACTCAAACGTCGCTTGCGGGTATACAATTAATTGAATTTTACTATTCAGATTACATAATTCTGCCTCTAGCTGGAACATCTCTATTATCATAAGCGCGTTGGCTAATGCAACAAAAAAAACTTATAATCTTATCATATATAAATAATAATTAGAAACGCACAACAGTTGTAGAATTGAAATATATTATTTGTTGAGAAAAAAATGTGTTATTTCATATCATGCCAGAGCCTAAAAAAAAAAACTTTCATTGTTGTTGAGATTATTCACGTCGAAAGTTTTCACGAGCTAGTCTCATAAACGTTTTCAGGATAGAGATATGGTTGAATACTTAAACTTTACGTGGGATATGCCAGATTGAACCTTGTACAGAAGTTGGCAGTTTCGGAAATGCGTGAAACAAGACTTTTTTTTTTAACTTCTCCTTTTGTATTTACTCAGTGTTTTTGTTTGCAAGCTGCGTCGAATCGAATCTGTTTTTACTCTAGAACTATTTGTGTTAGAGTTCTGAGATTTGGACATCGACTTTAAGGAGTAACTTTGACTCCCGATCCTAAAAATCGTTCAAAATTTTCAATTTGCGTTTTTGAAACATAAGATTGAAAAATTATTTTTTATTATTGGTTTAGCATAAGCCATTGTTATAAATAAAACTATAGATCATTCTGTTCAGGGAGTTTGTTGAGCGTTCTTTAATGTTTTAATTATTTTTTACAAGCTGTGTTAACTAAGCGATTAGTATTTACAGGCTGCGTCCCTAATAAAGTATTCCTAACGTTATATAAAACCGCATCTTTTACTTTGTTTATAGTTGTGCTTTTAAAACGTGTTTCTATGAAACTAAATAATTATAAATCAATGGTAAAAGAAAAATAAGCTATATTCTATAAAGCAAAGTTAATAAAGAAAAGTAACTGATTCGTTTAGGAAAAGTGTAACAAATCTCTGTACTATTACTGATGCCATGAAGTTTAATAAATTTTGGTTATAGTTCTACCGGTATTATAATAATTGGTGCTGTTTTTAATATGTGCCAAACATGCAAATATAGGTACTGTGGTGACTGGTTTTTATGGTCTTTTTTTTACTTTTTTCGTGCAGAACCACTGAAAAGTTTTTTTTTTAATTATTTTATTATGTATTCTTGTTCGAATAACTCATTTTTAATTTTGTTATTTGTTAAATAGGTGAGACATACCAGCAAAAACACCTATTCAGAACCTCAAGATGGCAATGCTCTGGACACGATAGACAAATCCAAATCAGATGACCAATTTGTCTTCACGATAGACGGCGATGATGACAACGACGACGATTTCGATGGCGGCAACAATAAACTAGATGCCAGCAAAGAAGACGACTTCGTGCTCGAAGACGCAGAACCAAAGAAGGCGAGCAAAAAGCAAGACACCTCATCGCGGAGGGAAAACAGGGAAGATGACGACGACGACGGGGACGATGAAGACTTAGCTGACAATGAAGATGATACTGTCTTTGATAGCCCCGAGGAAGATGCCCAGGTCATCTATGGAGATCACGTGTTTTTGTATTAAAAGGATGCATTTCTGTAATAATTCAGTTTGTTTTGAGAGATTCCATTCAATCTTTCAGACGATTAAGATTTATTTATCGTTCTTGAATGGAATAATTATTCTGTTGAGAAACATAGCTTTCGAATGCCGTTGTAAAATAAATTGGTTCAATTGTAAAAATGAAGCTGACAGCAGAGAACTACTAATCAGGGCTGATTTTTTCCCCCACAATTTGTGCAATGATTCTTATTATTCTACAGAATAGTTCTAAGTACTTAACGTTTACGTTTAATATAAAACATCATTTTGAAATATTACGTAGTTCGCATTCAGCACGAAGTACCATGATGACATCTCGCAATTTAAACGAAAGTATACTATTTAGCAGTAGAAAAAAAATGGCAAAATCTTATTTATATGTTAAGCCTATTTCCTCGAATGTTGAAGTATGGACTATGTTCCAAGCTATTACATATTATGGATTTTATTTCACCATGGCAGCACCTATTAATGCTAGGGCAGGATTTATTAGTACTCTAATTTATTTGATCAATAAAGATCTATTATTTTACTTAAATACTCAACGTAATTAAATAACTGCAGTTTTTTAATGAAATTTCATCATAAATTTTTTAGAGTATTAAAATCCAACATATTTAAATTTTTCAGAATTATTTACTGCAGTTCTTTTAACGGAATTTTATCATAAATTAGTTATTGGAATATTGAAGTTTTACACGCATTCTCGTGAGATAATGAAAAGGATGCATAGTTATACTTTAAACTGCATCGTAAATATAGTTATTTGACAAAATGTCCAATTACGTCTGTAATGACGCTTAAGATCTATAGTCCACAGAACTATCTTTACAGTCAAACTTCTTGTAAAAAAAGATTTGAATTATCAAAATTTACCTCAAGTTATATGCTAGTACTGAAAGTAGAAAAAGTAGAACACTTGAAAAAAGTTTTATTTAAATCACGTTTTTTCCTAAAAAATAAAGTTTAAAATTGATAAAATTGTTTCTTAAAATCCTAGTTCTGTGTCGTTTATCATATGCATTGTTTCTAAAAACTAAAAGCCTTATTATATTCAATTTTTTCACTCCAATGAAGAATAAATCATTGTAAGGCAGTTTTATGGAATTAAAAATATTTTGCATCTGCTGTTTGTAGGTTATATAGAATTCTGAATAGTAATTTAAGTTATTTTTCAGAAAATATTACCTTCTTTAACTTTAAGAGAAGATAGTTTCCAAGATTTCGATGCATTCATTACTTGAAACATACTAAGGAATTTCCGTCGAATCAAAAATTATTTTTTCCTAGTGGTAGCAAAGGTCATAAATGAATATTTGAATAAATTAGAATTAAAAACATTTTGTCCACCACTTCATATGAAGGATTCAAACAGATATATTAAAGGCATATGTTTGAACAGAATTGTTTTGCAGTTTTAATAAGAGCTACATCAAATTCAATTTAATTTAAAATTTCACTTAAATTTGCTACCACTGGAAAAAAAATCAAAAACCAAACCTCAAATATTGGAGGTAAGAATTTGTTTTTGGATTAATTTTCAAATAGTACTTAAATCGGGTTGTCCTCTTATAACTTAAAGCTAATTCATTCTAATAAATATAATTTTCTTTAATTTTATATTTCGTTTTTTTACTAATATTGTTCAAGAAATAAATGAAGAAAAAATAGTTCAATTCTAGGTATTGGGGTCCATAAAAGAAATTTTCATTGTTTGCTTATCTGTGATATAGATTAACTCTAAATTTTAATTTTAAGGAAACACAAGTATAGTTTTAAAATAAATTATATTTACTATTATTAGATTCACATTTTGTGTGTTGGAGTACATAAAAATTAGTTGCTTGCATTCCTCATATATTAGAATACTTAATCCAAATACAAAGGAAACAACAACAAAAAAATTTTAAATTTGTAATCTGTGTTTCTCTTTCTACTTATTTCAATTTTGTGCCATAAACGATACTTCTACACCAAAAAATTTTTGTTAATAAAGCTATGGCTTTCAGACAATAACGAATGATAATTGCCTAGTGCAGTAATAACAGTTTTGCTTGAATGCATTTACAGGGTTTGTACAGTACTGGAGAAAGTTTTTAAAAAGTGCTTTAAATGTAAGATTGTGGATAATTATTTTAAGTAACAATTTACATCTATCAAATTATATCTCTTTTAATTATTAATATATTTAAGTTTCTGCAGGTGTCATTCATTTATTAAAAATTGGCTAAATATAAAATAATATTTTTATCTCTATTTTTAATGTTATCAAGAACTGTACAACCCCTGATTTCATTTTTAAAAAAACGCACATTTTTTTATGTTATTATTTTTTGTTGATTTATTTCAATTTCTAAATTAATATTTACGTTAGTATGCCATTAGCATTATAATGATATGCGTGTTTCTTATTTTAAAACAAATACATTAAAATCGGTAAAATCTTATAAGATCCGTACGTAAAATAAAATTCACTGAAATTCACAGGGTGTTCAGAAAATATCTGCAACGTTATAGAAAGGCAAAATAAGCACTTATTGCATTAGATTGTGCAACCGAAAGTGACAGTCGGGAGTTTGTCAGCCGGCGTTATATGGAAGTAGATACGTGTTAAGCGAAGGAAAAAAATCACATTTATGGAGTTTGTTTTCATATTTCTTTCATATATTCTAAGTCACATATTTCGAAGTTAAATAATTCTAAGCAAAAATCACATTTTCTGTCATTATGTAACGATTGAGTCTCTGAGAGTTGTAGAAGACGATTTACAAATGGGCAATAACAGAACCGAAAAATCCTAGATCACGGTTCTGTTGTCTGTACCAACAGCTGAATTTGGTGTACAAACCCATGGTAGAGAATCGGGCACCCTTTCTTTATACTCGAAACAGACCTGCCTCTGTAAATCTATGGGTGATACTCTTAATTTTAGCGAACAAATAATAACTTTACTTCCAGGTGACATCGACTGCCATGACAACCATGTGATGCTTTTAACATAATTTCAGGACAGAAACGCTTAATTTTTTTCGAACCCCTTCGCGATTTAGCTGCATGTTTTCTGAGCTCCCTGCAAGGGAAAAGTCGGATGTAACCAAAAAATTGCTTTTTTGGCTATATTAGAGCTGTTGTATTTTGAAAAACATTTGACGCTTATTGCAGCAGCCACAGTGTTGTTTTAAATTAATTGAAAAACACTGCTTCTTTGAGAAATTGAAAAAAAAAATTTTTCAATTCCAATTTTTTTTCAACCACTTTATTTCGTCCTTTGCTCTCTTCCTAAATATATTTTAATTTTTAGGCAATGTATGTAATTATTTATTTTTTCTATATTTATATAGTTCAGTGAGATACATCATTATTGTTACTAAAAAGAAAATGAGTCTTATTAGATACTATACTTAATATAATAAATTTAAAAATTTTTTTAATAATTTCTGATTTTTTTTTCTTTCTTTTTTATTAAAAATGTAATTATTGAAGCTTGATTAATCTATAATCATTAATATGTTTTACTAAGAAATTAATGTATATATTTATTCTATCCATTTTACCATGCATCATAATTGTTTATTGTTTAATAAAAATATATTTTAAATGAGTTAAAGCGAAAGTGTGCTTAAAAACTGAATAATCAAAAATGAACAATTTTACACTTATATATTTGAATGGATTTTCTGAACTTTAACCAACTAATTTTATGAATCTCAATGTCTTAAAAATAATTCCTGTATATTTTTTATTTTGTACTGTTTAGGACGAATGGTTTCTATTTCACACTTTACTTTGTGAGCAATATGCTTCCTCAGCAAATTATGCAATTAAATGTTGCGGAAAACATGTTAATATTTAGATTCTATATTAGGGAACATGTCAGTTAAAAATAATACAAATTAATACTAAAGTATGTTAGTGTTAAGAGAAATTAAATTGCTTGAAAATTATGATATTTTCAAATGAAAGTATTTTTTAGTCTGATTTACTGAAATAGAACATAACTAGAATGTAAAGTGTTAATTATTGAATATGTGTTCTGATTGCACATTGTCATATCTGATGTTAAAATCAAATTGTACATATCTGTGTTAATAAATGTACATTTTATAGAGTTATCAACCTTGTTTTGTCACAATTGCTTTCTTATTTCAAACTCTTTTATAAATTTAACATTTTGCATACATAACATAAATTAACATAAACATAACTTCAATTTAACATAAATTTAACTTTACAGTTTACATATGCAAGAAATACTAAATATGAAATTAAAAGGCATTATTTGGAATGAACTTCTCTGGCTTTTAACTAGTTATCATAGTAATTAGAAATTAAATAGAAATTCTATACATTGCATGTTGCTTACTTTTTCAATAGTTTTCTTTTAATGAAATATAATTTAGGTGTCATCGATTAAAATTTAAAGTGGACGGGATTTTTTTAAAGCTGGCGTAAATTTATTGCTATATTTACAACTTCAGTTTAAAATATTATTTCGCCAATCTAGATTGGGCACTTGGCACTTTTATTGGGGCACTTGGGGCTGTTTGTGGTCCTATTTTTCTTTATCTTTGAGTTTTAACACTGTAGTGAGAGACATTGTGAAAGATGGACTGCAACTGGATTAGAAACAGAGTATTTTTCCCATGTAATAGTAGATAGTTGAAATTAGTATTTATTAGTAATTAAATTAAATATTAATGTTAAAAAAAATACTATATGCTAGTGCCTTATAGCTGCCTAAAATAATAAACCAGTTCAAAGATCTAATAGAAAGCCATCTAAACAGGCAAATACATGATGTAATAAAATGATTACACTCGTAATGCTAATTTTTATGATTTTTGCTAAAGTAGCAAAATTTATGATTTCACTTTTAAGTTTAATAAAATGTAATTAACGAACCGACGAGCAAGAAATTAAAATATTTTGTATGAGTTTTGATAATAACACAATATTATATTAAATACTAGTACCTACTCACAACGCCCTCGCTATGCTGCATTTTTAAATTTAAAATTTGACGATGGTGGGAAGTATATTCCCCACGATCTTACAATGGATAAAACATAAGAATATTTATTAGCTACCACTATATATTGATAATTTAAACAATAAATATTGGGATACAAAAGCCATGGTTTAATATTTGAACTTTTCGTTTTAAGTTTCATAGTTTAAAATACCTTACGATTCAAAAAACTTTCAAACATTATCAAATTCCATGTTATTGAATATTTCACATTGAATTATTTTTTAAAAATTGTGCATATTTTTTTATTCTTTAAAATGTGTCTGAGATAGGGCAAAATACGCAAAATATTAAGTAGTCGAAATTCGCCTCAAACATTCGACTTCTTTACTGATGCTATTATTAAGGCCCATTTTTTAAACTGAGCTATATTCCTCACTTCATATTTTAAGGGTCAAAAATAAGGAAAAAGGTAAGTTTATTTGACGAAGTTATATTTTTGTGTCTTTAATTCACAGCTTTAGACAAAGTCTACACTAATTAATTAGCTTATTTAAGGTCTACCATTATAACTATTAAGATTACATACTAGTACCTAAAAATCCGATCATTAAATTAAAAACCAGTCTGATCTCTCTCTTTCTTGTACACTTTATTAAAAATTTTAAGTATTTTTCTTTTTCGAGTCTCAAGAATTAAACAGATAAATATATACAATTATGACCAAACACAAAATTCAGTCAATGATGCATACATTTTGTATGCAAGAAACAGGAAAAAAGAATAAGTTTGGAACGAAACAAATAATACGGAACAATAGTTTTATTTGCAATGACATTTATAAGGATAATCCGAAATTTTGTTTGACAGAGAAGCATTTTTCTCATCTGGCGCATATTCTGAGATGTCTTGGCTCATTATTTGGCGCTCTGGAGGACATTCCAACATGGTACAAAGATCTTTATGAGGAGTTGAACTGCAGTCGATGACAGCATTCTGTAAATGATAAGGTATGTCATAGGGGCACTCACAGTGACTGCTTCTAACATAATCTTGGAATATTTCATTTGGAGATGGTCTGTAATCCATTAACTTTTTCTCGGTTTTTGCCCTCTGAAAACAGATGTAGTTCTCACCCGTTTCTGTGCTGAAATCTCTTTTAGGTTCCTCGTCAATATACACGAGTTTGGGTTCAACAGATTTACACTCGATTTCCTTGATGTGAGGATTTTTCGCTCGACGACTCTTAGACGAATAGGATTCTCTTTGAATAGGTTGTTGAAGACACGGATTCTTGTCTTTAGCTGTCATGGGATACGGTGGACAAAAATCAGTTTGGGTGATGCTTTTATCGTATTTCATTCCGGGTTCTTCGTAGTGGCGTACAAATGTGTGATACTTCCTGGGTTCGATTCCACCCCTGTTCACAAACTCTTCGTGTGTTTCGCTGACACCTTTAAAAAACGGGCCACGGCTGTACAGATTGTCGGGAGGTCCGGAAGAAGGGATTTTCTGGCGATGAGCCTCATCTAAGTAAGATGGCAAATAGGGGACATCTCCCCATTCTTTTTCGCCAACAGCTGGAGTTCTGTCACCGGGTGGATTGAACTCTTTGTAAGGTCCTGAAAAATCTTCTGGAAGACGTTGTTCAAGATCTGTACTGGGCACATCTCCCAAATTGAAATTTACTCGACGCGGAGTTGCGTAATCACAGTGGCAAAATGGTTCGTAATGACCGGCATGTCCAGATGGTTTAGTGACATCAGTACAGCCATGATTAGTGAATTCCATGTCACTGAGAATCACAACTAACTGCTCAGCTAAAATTATAATATATATATATATATATATATAGTTTTGCAATATATTTCCTATAATAAATAGTTAGGGGCTTCACTTATTAACTTTCATGATTGCTACCTAAACTTTTTATTATTATTATTACTATTGCTACTACTAGCTGGATACCCGTACTTCTGAAGAGGTGTCAAAATAAGCATCATGAAATCAGTACTGAACAATGTTAGGAAATCGTGCACAAAACGGTAAGACAAATCAAATACCAACACAAATAATGAAAATAAACCCAAGTGCGATTCCAAGAAATTATAATTTTACACCGATTGTTTATGAATGTAAATAAAATTATCTTTATGTATTCACACTTGGTATTAAGATACTTTAGGCATAGATACACATTTACAAAATATTTTTTTTATAAAAATATTAATATATATATTTCTCTTTTGTGGTACTATAATTCGAGCTCCATATCACCATTATTTTCCTACCAGATATACTTAGCTCTAAAATAGGCTGTATTTGTGGTTTAATATCAGAGCTGCCAGCTGCTATTAACTCGACAAAATATTTTTGAGAATTACAAGCTAAAATTTACAAATTTTCGGTTAATTTTGAAAACTTTTTAAAAGACTACACGGATTAATTGTCTTGGTTTACTGGTACAACGTACATTTGCAAATTTGTGTACTCAATTAAGACTTATAAATTTTTTTCAAGTAGAAGGACAGCACAAAAATAGATCTACGGTAACAGCGGGATTCGTATCAGCTTCCACCACGCTTCGCACAGCGTATGGCGGGTAATGCTGCTCAGTCAGGGATGCCCCGGCTTAACTGTAACAAATAGCGGTATCGAGTAAACCTTTGAATTATTTACAAGTAGTGATGAGTGAAAATTCTATAAATTGGTAGATCGAATTTACTAAACCAAGAATAACGCAGAAACTATTCTGTTTCCTGAAATTAGGATATCATTTCCTCATAAAGTGTTCGTCAAAGTATATATCTATCGGACGGAATCATAAACTTACATTCGTTTTCGTACTTTAAAAAGTAACTGTAACTCTTTAAAGAATCTATTATATACAAAATAATATTAAATTAATATGTGAAATATTATCATTCAAAAATTATGATCGCCATTACTTGGCGTTACTTATTCCTTTCTCCTTCACAGGCGATAAAGTCGCCTATAAAAAAATAACAAATTTAACTGCTTTTTCTAAATTTTTTATTTGAATCAATAAATAAATAAAATAGCTGAATTTTCTTGCTCTGGTGAAATGGCTAAGTACCTGCTTACCACTTTCATTATATCATTTACTCATTATTATATGCCAAGTAAATAAGTAATTTTTTTTCTTCTTACAAAACATTAGTTTTCTTGCAAAGAAGTTATTTCTGTTGTTGTTGCTAATTCCCATCTGGTCTGACAGGGTCAGACCAGATCAATAAATCCGTTGACATTAAGAAAATCCGAAACCAGAATGGGAGAGGAATGAATGTCGTTCCAGTCCAGAGCCCTAAACAGTTCAAGATGTGCTCAGGTGATGCCTGTTTTTGTTGGCATTTAGGGCAAAGAGGAAAAATCTTTTGATTAGCAGAAAATGTGAGACTTTTCAGGTGTCCACTGGCCAGTCGGGATAAGCAAGTGTTGGTTTGCCTGTCACCAGGAAGAGATAGGGAGAGTCCTAGTCTTTTTGCTTTATACCAGTAGTGAGTAGGTGGAAGCAGCCACTTTTGTTTGTTCTGGGCCTTTTGCCTTGCGAAAGAAGTTATTTCTTGTAAAAATAACAAGAGAATTTATGTTAAAAAGAGCTGAATCAGATCAACAATTTTGATGACTTTTTCATATGTAGGAGTGTTCCTTGGCTTTAAAAAAAAAGTAGCATCGATTTGGTTAGCAAAGATTTGAAATAAAGATTTGAAGTCAAAAATTTAGCAAAAGATTGAAAATAGTCTTCCATATTTTCCTATTTCGAATAATTTTGAAGCTAATTCTTTAACTACATTAGAAACAGAGTCTCCAAAACACAATGTAACACAAAGATAAATTTTAATTAGAAAAATTAAACTGAATTAATCAACAAGTTTGTCTTCAATTTAAAGAACAGCGCACAAAATGAAAAATGCAGCAATTACTCTTATAGTTACAAGTTAAATGAATACACAAAGTTACTTACATATTTCGTGATTTCACTTTGGACGTGATAAAAGACTAATTACCCATCAAGCACAAGGGAAACATATTTTAAAAAAACTCATAAAATATAATTGCCCTCATTAACTATTTAGATTCTGAAGTGTTGTTGATTGAATACTTATTAAATTCGAAGATGGAAGAAAAATAATTTATGCAAAGCAAGGTTCGTGTAAGGCAAAACGCAATTTCGATCAAGATGATGGATGATAATAATTTCACAAGCTTTTCAGATATTAATTAAAAGTTCATTTTCTGCACGAAGATCACTTTTATCAAACGAGCTTAAATGCACGGAATCTACTTTAATGAAAATGGGGTAAAGGAGTGGAAATTTCAATAAATTAATTTTTAAAATTTCAATAAACTAATGAAGCATAATATTTTTTAATATTGCATGAATTATAGTTGATATCGAGTATAAATGAAATTTCGAAGAAGGTTAATCTTTGAAAATCGATAGATTTCAGGAATTGCAGAAAACTCAATTTCTGTTATCAAAGCACTCGACTAATAATTAACAAGGACAGTTTTTTTCTTTCTCCAGTTTATGTGTACCATAAAAAAAAAATTATCAACATTTTTTCGTTTGCCACGCGAAAATTTCAAAATATTTATAAAAGAAAAATATGTAACTCAAGTATATTCTTTTGAAAAAATTTTATAAAATGAAATTTTGTTGAAACGAGAAACTGTTCTTCACTTATTTACGAATTTCGTTATTAGCTTTCGTCGCCTATCATTTTCATATCTTCAAGTAGGTTGATCTTGTTCTTTATAGTATTTTCTGTTTTGTTACCAATAAGATACCTGATAGTGAAGTCGTCGTTGGTAAATCGGGGTATTTGTTGATTCAAAAGCCAATCAGGTTAAACACACATGCGTGAACTCACTTACAGACATCCAATTAGATCTGATTTAAATCACATGGTTAACATAATCGCTTTACTTTTTCTGGAGTTGCAAGTACCCAATTCCAAGAAAAAAATATCTTTATTTCTTCATCTTAGTTGTCATTAATTGGAAACTTACAACTTAAGAAGAAGTGAAATGAATTTACCTAACCATGTGATTTAAAATAGATTTAATTGAATGCTTTATAAGCAACGTCAGGCATGCGCGTAGAAGCTGCGTGACTTTTGAATCGACAAAGCTACGATTAACCAACGATGACGTCACTTGCAGGTATCCAATGGGACCTGCAAGTGACGTAGTGTGGGTATCTCGATTCTGATTGGTTGTTGAAACGTGGCATTTGTTTACGTTAGTAACTGTTTTTTCCATTCTATTTCGAGTAAGCCAAGCCTTTCAAGAATCAATTCTCTTAAATGATACATTCTATATTCTTACTCAAAGATTTCAATTCTTTCACTATATATTTCTTACTTAACACAAGGGCAGGCATGAAGCCACGTATAACATAAGTAAACTAATTATGCATCGAAGTTGCCAGGTACACAAAACAAAAATATATAGCGGTTACAATAAATACATAAACAAACAGTAAATCAAAGTTAAGTAAAAGGAGTAGAAGAGAAAGATTTATATTAAACTCAAGCAGCATTAGCTTATAAAACTAACCTAACTGTATTTACCTATTCACATTTTGAATTTTTCATTTTAATAAAAGAAGGAAAAGCAGGTTTTTGAAAACAAGTTTATTGGTTCTATATCTCAATTTCTTATGAAACCAGCTCATTTGCATTGGAAAATAGGAGATTCATGCGAGTAATTCACTAATGGGTTTTTCAATGGCGCGGACATTATTAGATTTGTTAAAGAAGGTATAAGAATTGAGAAACGAATAAATTAAAACAATATTTATGCATTCTTTTTTTCAGCAAAATATCAGGTGTAATACTTAATAAATTCATTTGCTTTTTCAAAATAAAATGAGAGAAAAGGAATTTTGGTAAATATGCCGAATGCCAAGCAAATTTTGCTGAACTGTGAAAATCTTAGGGAGATCACAGCGACCTCCTATTCCTACGCCCCTGCTTGATACGAAAACATAAATCTAGGATTCTCGTTTAAGCAATAGGGCGTACAGTACAAAACTGCCTGGCATTTTGACAACACTTGCATTTCAAACTTATTATAGAAAGAAGTAATACACACAGTAAATATCCATATAGTAGACATATCCATTTAGTAGAAATCAAATATCCATATTATTATTTTTATGTGAAAATATACACAACTTAAAAAGCAAAAAGAACAAAATCCCTCTGTACTTTCATTTTAGTTTTGGGAAACTTATCTCATTTACAAATAATACTCTGATGATTTTTACTTTCAACTAATATAGACTAGGGACAAAAATGTGAAATTTAGCACAATATTTAATAAATACCTTGTCAATAAATAAATAAAAGACAATTCAATACTGCAGTGGGCGGAAAAACTACATTATTTTTGTTGTTAACTATAACTACTCTGTTGCAAAGGTCGTTAACTATAAAAACTTTTTTTTTAATGTAGTGACTACAAACTACTTTGGAATTTAGTAACTACTTCCACTTTAAGGAGACAAACTTACATTAAATGTAAAGAAATATTTATTGAAGTTTACATGAGCCACAGTTTGTTATTCCAAAACATTTGTTTCCGAATTTATTCATTTAACCTTCAATTTTATGTCTTTCCCGACTGAGAATATTTAACTTGAGAAAAACGAATTTATCAAATACTTGAAATTTTTAAATTGTTTAATGCTCTTTTATTTTCTCTCAGAAATTAAGTAGATCAAAAATACACTATNGTCCAAGAAAAAACACATTATAGCTGAGCTAAATGAAGAGTGCTATGTTTAATGAAGAAGCTATGTTTAATGTCAAAATCAAAATCTTGGCTGATTTCAATGTGCTGTTGGATGTTGTCCGCCATTGCTTCTGTGGTTAACGTCACGTTGTAATCCAACTGCAGTTGAGTTGGACGGCAATCGTAGTTCAAGATGAGAGTTCGATGACGTATACTATCAAACTCACAAATGGACCAATCAGAGGTTAGCGCTGATTTCCAGCTGACGGCGTCCTGTCCTAAGAAACCAGGCCTTAAGATACCTGATAGTGAAGTCATCGTAGGTAAATCGGGGTATTTGTTGATTCAAAAGCCAATTCAGGTTAAACACACATGCGTGAAGTTTATTTGCAGACATCCAATTAGATCTGATTTAAATCACATGGTTAACATAATCACTTTACTTTTTCTGGAGTTGCAAGTACCCAATTCTAAGAAAAAAAGATCTTCATTTTTTTTATCTTAGGGTTTATTAATTGGAAACTTACAACTTGAGAAGAAGTGAAATGAATTTACCTAACCATGTGATTTAAAACAGATTTAATTGGATGCTTTATAGGCGACGTCAGGCGTGCATGTAGAATCAGAGTGGCTTCTGAATCGACAAATGCTACGATTTACCGACGATGACGTCACTTGCAGGTATCCAATGGGATACCTGCAAGTGACGTAGTGTGGTTATCTCGATCCTGATTGGTTGTTGAAATGTGTCATTTGTTTACGTTAGTAACTGTTCTTTCCATTCTATTTCGAGTAAACCAAGCCTTTCAAGAATCAATTCTCTTAAATGATACATTCTATATTCTTACACAAAGATTTCAATTCTTTCACTATATATTTCTCACTTAACACAAGGACAGGCATGAAGCCTCGTATAACATAAACAAACTAATTATGCATCGAAGTAGCCAGGAGCGCAAAACAAAAATATATCGTGGTTACAATAAATACATAAACAAATAATAAATCTAAGTTAAGTAAAAGACGTAGAAAGAAGAGAAAGATTTATATTAAATTCAGGCAACATTCGTTTATAACACTAACCAAACTGTATTTACTTATTTACATTTTGAATTTTTCATTTTAATAAAAGAAGGGAAAACGGGTTTTTGAAAACAAGTTTATTGGTATATCTAAATTTCTTATGAAACCAGCTCATTTACATTGAAAAATAGAAACTTCATGCGAGTAATTTACTAATGGGGTTCTCAATGGCGCTGACATTATTAGATTTGTTAAAGAAGGTATAAGAATTGAGAAACGAATAAATTAAAACGATATTTATGCATTTTTAAAAATTCAAAACTGCCTGGCATTTTGACGAACAAACGAAGTCCTGCAGAAAAATTCGTATCTTGAATAAGTGAAACCTTTTTCGCTGTGAAATGCTTGCAGAACATTTGAAAATATTCTGCTTATGAGCCTATGCTCAACATCTTTTTTTTTTCTTTATAAACACCACGAGTTGAATTTGCAGAAATATAAATTATATAAGTTCAATAATTTTCATTTATGTTTGTTAGCTTCCTTTAAAAAAAAAACTAAAGTAAGGAGTGAATAAGTTTCAAAAAGAATATTGGAAACGATAAGCGCACATTTTAAATCAAAAATTTCACTATGATTGTTAAGAATTATATTTGGCAACATATGACCCATCTCCCTCCTTTTTTTTTGAACATTTAATTAATAATACTCGAGCGCGAGATTACAAAATAAATATCTCGCGAGGAAAAATAAATTTTCTACAATGGATAAGTAGTTAATATTTATAGTAAAAAGGCTGAAAAAATTACTAATAAGCACTTAAATTTGAATTTCGAAAAATAATATATAAATAAAATTTTCTTTAAAGTAATGATACAAAATGGTCCTATCAGCACATCTAATGTTGCGTTTCAGCTGGCTGTAAAACAACCAGCATTTTTTTTTTTTTTTTAAGTACGATTCTTTTTAATTCTAGAGCTAATAATAAAATTGTCAAATAATAATAATTTGTCAAATAATAATATAATTGTTCAAATAATAATATTTTGAACTCTTAGTTCATCATTTTTCAACACTCCTTCGTAATTTCGCGTTTCTAAGCCTTATAGATTTTGAACAGTAAGGCAAATTGCAATGTAAAGCAAAAAGGAAAAAAAAAAATTGCAAAGAAAGCACTCAAAATTGCAATAACTTTCGAATAAAAAAAATCTGTGTTAAGTTTATAAACAAATTTGGCCCTCTCAGCATGCCGAGTTTTAATTCTGCAGTTGCATTCCTGAGGCACGTATGGTATTTTTTCCAACAAGTTTAACAGTAATAATTCACTTTTCAACACACCTTAGTAATGTCAAGTTTCTAAGTCTTATAGTTTCAAAACAAAATATAAAATTTAATTGAACACCCAAAACAGCAGAGACCCTATTTTTTAATAGAGAGATAGTGATATAAAATTATTCAAACTATTAATTTTTTAGGATATTTGCAGTTTATAAAATATATACAACAATAGTTTAATTTAAATATACAAAATGCAAATTCAGTGTAAAATACTACTTTCATTTCATGAATTTAGATTTCAATTTTATAATGCAATTATTTCATAACTGTTGCCATCTGAAAGAAACAAATTCAGCCCTTTTCTTAGGTAATATTAGTGATTTGTGTACGGTAGAAGATCTTTGTAATACAAATGTGGAAACATGCAGTTTTGTGATAGATAAAATTTTGCGTTATACATTTTACAGATTGTTTAACTTACCTACTAAACATGACAATATGTATTTGAAATAGACCAATATTTAAATATTTTAAAATAGTTTTTGGATGCAAATTATTTTAAAACACGCGCTTAAATATTTAATATTTACAAGGTGGAAAACTGAAATTATCAAAAACATTAATAACAACAAAAAAAAAAGTACCAATTATGGTTTGCTTTAAAGATTTTAAGCTTTTAGAAATTTTTTATTTGTGCAGTTTGTGAACAGTTAATGATTCTTGCTCAGTTTCAGAAATTTCTTGAATATGATTTACATTGCTTACACCTGCACAGTTAATGAAGAATTTCAGTTTATAGAATTGTGTTATATAGATATTCTACTGATGTAAATTATTACAAAATAAGTGTTGCCAAATAATGTAATAAATATTAAACCATGGAAAGGAAAACAAAAAACCTTTTTAAAATGCTATAACTTTATTTTTTTCCAGAATAAATATACAGATGATAGAATCCTGATAACATACATGTAGCTCTAACATTTAATAATAACTTAACTATTTGCCTACAACAGAATTGTACTATTTACATCTGGATAGAAGACAATTTAAATGTGAACAATAATGGAGGTCAGTATCAGGATTCATGTCGCTTGTGAATAGGATGCGCTAAATAGGAAAACAATATTTATGTTATAAAATTTCATTAAGTAATTAATTTCAAAAAATACATCATATATTATATATATCATAAAATATCTTTAATAAGTATTATGGAAATATATGATTGAATAAGTTATAATTTAAGAACAATAATAAAAATGCATGCATGCATGCACACAGATTGCTTTTAATTACCACCCTCAATATACAATAAAATTTTGAACTATTATTTTGTATTGAAAATGAAGCCATTACGACATACTCTCTAGGTTTTGTGAGATCTTTAAGAGAAAAAAAAAGTTATCAATGACAGATGAATTAGTGGAGGTCATTTTACAATTTGAATTAAAAATCAAATTGGTTTATCAAGCAAAATTAGTAGACAAATCTAGTATCATTACATGGATAGTATAGGGCAAAATTAACACTTACATTGGGGCCAATATGGGCCACAAGATAACTAAATTTAATAAATGGTGATTAAAAAATCTTGAGCCAGTCACCACCCTATCATCACATTTATTTCATCGAAAATACACCACATGCATTTTGATATATTTTTATAAAATAAATATGGAATAGTTATGAAAATTTTATAAATGTTCAAAAATTAATTTTATTCCAAACTTTCTTCTTAAAAATTTTCTTCATTTAAGAAATGAACCATGTATTATTTTCTATATGTTGAGAAAAGCTTCAGAACGAACGTTCTATGTAGTTTTTTCAAAAGTGGCTACATGTTTTAAAAAGTTAACACTGTTAAAAATGCTATAATTGGCCACTGGCAGGTAGCAAAATTACTTGTTTTTGCCTTATATTCTGATTTAAAAAAAGGAAGATAAAAAGTGAACTAATATATGAGGATAATTATTTCCATTTTCTATATTGGCTGCTAATTTTTGCTCAATTTCAGCAAAACTTTTGACAGACTTTTGAACACGTGACTTTTTATTAGTTGTGGTAATTATGGATATATCAATTCATTAGCAGTAAACAAATCATGCAGATCATTATCACAGACAACGAGAGTATATTTTTATTTTCTTGCTTTAACTTTAATTTTAAAATAATGAGTTCTAATGTGTAAATTATGAAGACTTCAAATATATATATATAAATTATAATATATAAGTACAGTAAGTCAGAAGTACTTAATAATCATTGTAAAAGTACTTCTTTTCATTTATTTAAAAAAATCTAGCTTTGTTTTAAATATGCAAGCGAAACAAAAGTTACTTACTCATAGATAGAAAATATACTAAGCTCATAAAAAAGTTAAGAAAAAAAGACAAATCTAGTTTAATAAAGGAAAGAAAGCTAAACAAAAGCAATTATTTACCTATTTACAGAAAAAAAGAAAAACAAACAAAGGATAAAAGTGACATAACGAAGGATAAGTGTCAGCATAATGTTTAATATGTTTCTCATTTCAACTTAATTAAAAGAAATTACTATTACATTTTTAAAAAAAATATATATATTAAAATTTTAATAAATGAATGGAACAGTAACCAAGACAATAGTGTGTTTTTGTAAACATTTAAGTAATATAAATCATACCTTACCTTTAACAATTATAAATCAAACCTTGTAATTTATATTAATTAATTATTCTTAATATAAACATGCGCGGGATAAAAAAAAGTTTTCTTCTAACCTAAAACTAAAAGAGAAATCTTTTTACTCACACATTTAGATGATTTATTTAAAATAATGGCTGGAAAAACAATTTCTAAAATTATACAAACAGAACATAAATAAGGAATAATGTGAAACAAAATCAAGAGAATTGAACAAAAATAAAGCAAAACTAAGTCAGGAGTACAGAAATAAATAAAGCAAAACAAAATAATTCAAAACATATCATTTTTTTCAAAATTTAGACAGTAGTGAATCATTGTAAATAAAATACAATACATGTAACAAAGGTCATCGCTTTAAAACAAACAAGTCATATTTGCAATATTGATTAATAGTTCTGATTATATAATAATCTGAAATGACTGATTTGTTAACACAAGATAGTAGCATGAGATTTATTGTTCAAAATGGTAAAAGAAATAAGTAAATAAGCAGAACTAAGTGAACTAACAATAATAATAATAAAAAAATAACAATAAAAAAGATGGGGATATAGTAGCCCATAGCAATGTCTAGAATTAGAAAATAGGTGAAATAGTATAATTTAGTGAGGGGAAAAAATGCTATTTTTTGCATAGTGATATTATACAACAGAACAATAAAAAAAAATTTCTTAAATTAGAAAATGTGTCTAAAATGCTAAATATTTTTATTTACTAAATGAAATAACAAAACCTTTGTTTTTATAGTCTAAGTCTTACTTTTTTGTAGGAGTAACAAAGTAAGCTTTCAGGTAAATTGTTCACATACCAAATGAAATAGCCACACTAATTTTACTGTTGCTAATTATAGTTATGATTTTAATCTAATCTATGTCTTATCTATCATTTTTAGATATCTCTTAATAATAAAATATCATTAAACTCTACTAAAAATATTTTCATAAAATATATACAAGAATTAATTTTTATACTTTGCACTATCTATTATTTTAAAAACAATCCAAACAAATCCAGAACATGTTTTTATCTGCATACAAAACATAATTCAAAAAATATTAATAATCTAAAAGCACCACTACTTGCAGTTTAATCATTTTCACCTATAATTAGATTTTTCCTATTTTTAAAAAAAAAATTTAATAGGTAATTTTTAAGCTGTAATTTAAAATTATTTTTCAGCTAACAAGCTTTTTTTAACCTATTTCTTATACCTATATGTGAGAATAGAGTTAATTTTATTTTGACATCTACATTATGTAGAAGGTAAATTTTCATTTTTTTTTTTTTTTTTAACATTTCAAACCAGAAATTTGCGTTATAACATTAATTATAAAATGTACATTTAAAAAAAATGTGCATTTTTTAAGTATATATTGATTGATCATTTTGTGGCACCTGATGTCAAAAGTAATCTGACCGTGAAGTGAATCAATATAAAAAGTAATAACTAGTATTAAGCAATATGGCACTACATTGAAAAATTAGGTTACTAAAAAGTAATAAAGTCAAAACGTGAATAGCTTAGCAAACAACCTATTTTACTTATAAAAATTTACTTTTAGCTAATTTCTCATGGTGTTGCAATCAAAAATTATTTATAAAAGAAAATTTAAAATGCTATACACAAATCATATTTTGTGTATAACAGCACTTTATCTTTTCACTAAATACAACAATGTTCATATTTAGAAAGGCACTTTAGCATTACTAAATGAACATCAAAGAAAAAATCTTTGCAATTACTACAAACAGTTTCTAAAGAAAAAAAAATTAAAGATTGCTACAGAATTCAGAACCTTGTTTTGTCCTTGACGATTTGTATCACATTTTCAATAACATCAGACGTGTTTGCTGTGCCACCAAGATCTGGAGTATGAATCTAAACAAATTAAATGGATAAAAAGGTGAAAATTAAAATAAATGCATATATTTAAAAAAAAAACATATCATTGGTATACTGCCAAAAGTAGCCAAGTCAAATAGCAATACAAGCCAATATTAAACACCTACCAATATTAAATACCTACAATTGTACAGATTAAACTAGAAGATCTGATTACCAGCTATATAAATATATATACAGTACACTCTCGATTATCCATGCACGGATTATCCGGTTTGCGGATTATCCGTGCTCATTCCGGAGTCACACAAAAAATATAAATAGAAGCATTTTCAAGATTAAAAATATTTGATTCATGAAGTTATAACACTACCAAATTTTTGGAAGTAATATTCGTTATTGGATTGCAGTACATGGAATATCAGCAGCATGGTCAAAGGTAAAATCGTCTACGTTATCATGATCTTGGAGAAAGATCATACCGCTTGATGAACAATCCTCTTCAGATGTTCAAGAAAAATATGATAACTGTATTCTCGAACTAGCAAAAGAAATCGAAGGTTTCGAAATTCTTTATGAAGAAAATTTAGAAGATTGGTTTCAAAGTGATGCATGTAAGCCTGGCTTCCAGTATTTGACTGATGAAGACATCGTTATGTTGTTAAATCAAATAGTGATGATAGTAACTGATGCAGAAGATGTAGTAAATGAGGGAAATACAATTTCTCATTCTGCTGCTCTGTGGAAACTTTATTAGATTATATGGGAGGATTTGATTACAGTGACATTACTGCTGTTCGTAAAATATGTGTATATGGCGAAGACGCATTACACATTTTTTAATAAGGAAAATTCCTAGTTTGATGTTATGCATGCAAATGTCAGTAATTTTTATATTTTTTGTACTGATATTGAATTTTTCTTTAATAAAAGGAGTTTTCGGATTATCCGTGTTTTTCGATTGTCCGTGCGACCTGTCCCGGTGATTAACCCGGATAATCGGGAGTGCACTGTATATAGATATACTAGGGGCAAGCCCCCTGTTCGCTACAGCTCAACAACCCTGATGATTGCTTTGAAATAATTGCTGCTTCTTGACAGAAAACAATTTTTCTTTTTACAAAAGTTGAAATTATTCACTTAACATATATGTACTAAAAAGAATTATGTTTGCTTACGCTTGTGCTTCCACTTCTCACGTCCAAATATTGCTATCTATTAGTATTATGAATATTTAGATCTACTAGCGATCGAAGTAAATTTTCTAAGTAAACGTTTTTTAACATAAAACATTGAACATAACATAAAACATTAACATAACATAAAACATTTAACATAAACATTTTTCAACATAAAACATTATGTTGATCTAACAAATTTGGTGAGTTCCCAATCGTAATTTAATATCTTCGTTTACCAAACGGGCGGATATATTAAATACTTTTTTGCTTGCATCACATTGTGCAGGAAGCTGATCGTGAAGTTCTAAATCATATAACGAGTTTCTGTAATGGTAATTTATAACAATACATTAATCTTATTTACTCAAAAAATAATAATTGCAAAACAGTTAATAAAATTACAATTTTTAAATAACTTTATCTTATAATTTAGCGCAGAATTACGTTTATAATGGAAAACTGTGCTAGACCGTTATGCTTTTATGTTACAAATATATGCAATTTTAAATACTTAATAAAAAAGAGAGAAAGAGACCTTGGATCCAAAATTTACTATTCACTAAAATAATTAAATCTCAAAAAGCAGTTCTGTAAGTGATAAAGAGTGGCTTACATTAAAAAGAAACTATGTAAGATATTAAAATACTAAAGTTGTTGCATTGAACAGACATGAGATTGCTGGATGAAGAAATTATCTGAAATTTTTTTTCTTCAAAATATTTAAAAGCACAAAAATTTTTATGCACAAAAATAACATTTATAAACTTGAAAAAGAATATATATATTGGAAAATATTAATAGATTTCTCCATTTTCTCGCTTTGCAAATCAAAATATTAAAAAACTATGAAATCCACAGCAAAAACTGGAAAAAGATTGATAATAAAACCATGCATATTTATGACAAAATCACAAGAATCGAATTTGAAGGTTTAGCTTAGCGGAACTTACAGATAAAATTTAGTCAGAATTTAGATTATTCTGTGAATTAGCGGAAGAATCGCATGATCCATCAGATAACACAAAGGCAAAAGAGTGAGAAAAACAAGCATAGATCATGGAACAATTTGAAATTAACTAGCATGCAGTCACAGGAGCCTCAGCTCCTAATTTTAAAATTAAATATATCTACTTGAATTGAAAACACACTGATTATGCCCTAAAATCTAAAACTGAGGCAACTAAAATAAAAATATTTCTCATCAAACAAGATTCTTACGACCACATTTTAATTTTTCTCCAAGATTATCAACAAGATGTAATATTTCTAATTGCTTACTTTGTCGATATTCACAGTCTTATCAACAGCATCACCAATAATTTTAGCATACTTCTCCAGCCTGAAAAAGAACACATAAAATTATTAAGATGTTCAAAATTAAAATAACATGCACATATTTGATAATGTATTTGACTTAAACTAACACGCACAAAATTAAAAAAACTATTGTTTTTTGTGTAATTTTGTCACTACTTTTGACAATGCAAAAATAGTAGCTAGTTTTTAAAAATCTCTAAAAAAACCTTTGCAAAATGTTAAAAACACAAAACAATTTATTTTTATTCAGATGATTGTAGAAATAGAATTTTTTTTCAAATTTGACTTCTGAAAATAAAATATTTTCAGCTATATATATAGAAGTATATATAGATTCAAGCTAAAAACAAATACATGAATGAATATGATTTTTTCACAATTTGAAAGCTAGGAAATGTGTACAGTGTACATAACATATGTATGTAGATTAGTATACAGTATAGTACATAATAGACAAAACTATGAATAATATACAAATTAAGTATCATGTGAAAATACTATATATAGTATTTTCACATGATACTTAATTTGTAATTCATTCCACTGAACCAAAATTTTGGTTCTACAGCTCCTCTGAGCATAGTTAGATAACAAAATAACTTTTACAAAATTCTGAACTCAAATCAACTTTTGAATGCGGTATAAGGAGAATCATATGTCTCTTTTAAAATACAAAAGCCAGCATCACATTCCCCCAGAGGGAAGGTTAAATGGGAATTAACTTTAACAATTTGAAATAATTTTTAAACATATTGAACCTATAACTCCCAACTAACTAAATTTAAAAAGAAACCTTATTGCCTTCTAAAACACATTTTATTAGATTTTATAATATATATATATATATATATATATATATAAAGTGAGCACAAATGTTTTAAGAAAATGCATTAATAGATCTA